TTTGTTCGTTTTCCACACTTTTGTCGTGTGTGTGTGTGTGTGTGTGTGTGTGTGTGTGAGAGAGAGAGAGAGAGAGAGAGAGAGAGAGAGAATGAGGGTTATCTTCCTGATCCTTTCCTTTTCAGCATGTCCTGTGTGATGTTTTCACGGGTGTGGCTGGTGTGATTTCCCTGGCGGTGCGCTTGGACCCTCGTCACCTGATGCTTAGGTGTGGGTCTGGGGAGATGAGGCCTCTATTCTTGGTGCAAAGGCGGCCGACACTTTCAGTGTCAGAAACTGGCCAGCAATTATATGCCTTTTTTTTAAAAAAAAGCAATTATATGCCTTTATTTTAAAAAAAGCAATTCTGTGCTCTTAAGCAATTTGGAGCTGCACACCTTAAAATAGAGGTGCCCACCCCGGCTGTGGCGACAGGGGCGTGGCCGATGTCGGGCAGGAAGTTGAAGTCGCACATGGTCCGGGCTCGGCCGGCCCTGGCTGCTGCACGCTGGCCGGCTGGGACCATGGCGGTGCTCTTTCTGCCACGGTTTGTACATTTTAATTTCTGTGCGTCTACAGACAGACATCAGAAATGCAAAACTAGGAATAGTTTTTTTAAACATAGTTTGAAACCTCAATGTTGAGAGGGAGGGCAGCCTGTTATAACCTATTGATGATGCTGGGCAGCCTCTTATAGTCATGAGTGCGTGCAGGCTAAAGTCATCGCGATGAAAGGACCAGGTCCGTGCCTGGGGCAGGCGGGCCGTGACCTTTCCCTGGAGACTTGCGAGTGGCTGACTCCGTCCTCACTCCCTCTGCCCTCGCCCATCGTTTAGGAACTGGTCTGTCCAGTTGCTTTTTCCCACTTTGGTCTTCTCTTCTTGCCCTTTGGCTGTTGCTGTGGAAACCACTGCTTTTTAGAAACATCGTCATTTGTATTTTTTTAAATATATTTTTATTGATGTCAGAGAGGAAGGGAGAGGGAGAGAGAGATAGAAACATCAATGATGAGAGAGAATCACGGATCGGCTGCCTCCTGCCTCCTGGGGATGGAGCCCACAACCCGGGCATGTGCCCTTGACCGGAATCGAACCCGGGACCCTTCAGTCCGCAGGCCGACGCTCTATCCACTGAACCGAACCAGCTCAGGTGGTCAGACGTTTAATGAACTCACCCCTGAGGCCTGGGCAGGGCCAGACCAAATGTTTTCCCCGGGGCCGACGTTCCCCACCCCTGGACGTTTAAGGCACCGGCAGACCCTACTTATGTAGGAATTTACCTGAAAAACCACCCGTGTGAATCAGGATGCCTTAGGGCCCAGATCCCAAATCAGTTCGGATAATAAGGAAGCTTGCCGGTTGTTTCACAGAAGAGGAAGTATAAAAGTAGGTCACGGGAGATCCGGCCAGGAAGTTTCTTTCCCAGAATCCCCCAGCACCTCAGATCCCAGGGACCCACGCTGCCCTGGGGCCCAACCATCCCTAAAATAGTCATTGGTGGGTGTCGCGGCAGAGGGGGGAGTGGGAAGACGATTTACTAAGCACCTGGCAAGGAGTCAGAGTTGGAAAATCAATCAAAATGCTCCCTGCACATCTGGGAATAGCGGTTTGTATTCCTGATGGCCGCGGGATCCAGCAGAACAGAGGACGCCCGGGGGGTCAAGTGGGTGTTGGCGAAGGTTGGGGACGTTACGGTAAGGTACTCGGCAGGCTTCCCTCGCCCACTTTTTCATGGGGACGTTTTAAATCCTTTCGTGCGTCCCCAGCAGTTCAGGTCGGAAACCGCTTTGGAGACACGTGATTGTTAACCAGGTTTTGGCTAGTGATCTGTCAGGGTCTTGCTCGTTGACGTAGAACTCGGTCACCTTCCTCGGATCCGCATTTGGAGGCGCGTGTGTCGTGTCAGAGATATTGCGTGGGACTTGGGGAAAGGGGTTGCACAGAGCGCCGCGGCCCTGGCCCGCGTGCCCGCCAGCGTCCTCTGCAGTGTTTTGGCGATGGCTTCTCCAAAGTGGGTGTTTCTTTCCTGGACGGATCGTGGAGGAGATAGGAGCCGCCCGTCTCCCGTCTGGCACGTGGAACAGCACAGAGAAGCGAGGAAACGTGCCCCGAGGCCCAGCCCCTGCGTCTGGGTTGCTTGGCAAGCAGATCCGATCTGTTGTTTTAATCACCTGGCCCGTGGCCTCTCCTCACCTCGCATGAGCTCACGGTCGGCTGCTCTGTGATCATGGGAGGCAACCTGCGAGAACACGCTGAATGGGGTACACGTATTTATTATTACTTATTTTTAATTTTTTTATTGATTGAGTTATTACATAAGTGTCCTTATCCCCATCTTATCCCCTATCCTCCCCCACTCATGCCCTCACCCCCCTGTTGTCTGTGTCCATTGGTTAGGCCTATATGCTTGCATATAAGACCTTTGGTTGATCTCTCCCCCTATATTATTATTATTTATTATTTTTTAATGTTTTTATTGATTTCAGAGAGGAAGGGAGAGGGAGAGAGGAAGAGAGAGAGAGAGAAAGTGAGAGAGAGACAGCAATGATGAGGAAGAATAATTATGGATCGGCTGCCTTCTGCCCACCCCACACTGGGGATGGAGCCCGTAATCTTGGCATGTGCCCTGACCGGGAATCGAACTGTGCCCTCCTGGTTCATAGGTTGATGCTCAACCACTGAGCCACACCAGCCGGTCCCTCTGTCTCTCTTCTGACATCAGAAGCCGAGGCCAGTGGGCCCTGACCAGCCCACGTCCCCACGCCCCGTGCACAAAGGCGTTTCCGAGCCCACTTCGCCTGGGGTGCGTCTCGCCTGTAGGGGTCCTGATAGCCCGGGACACGCCCGTACTTGGCACTCACTGTGTCCGGACAGGAATATGCGGGTGGAACATGCAGACGGAGACGGTGTCTGAGTGTCTGTTGGTCCTGCTTCAGGGAAGCTCCTGGGGGGGCCCGCCCCCCTTCCTCCTTTGCGTCTGGAAGGATGAGCTCAGTGCGGCCTGGCCCGCGTGGGGAGTGAGTCCCGGGTGGATCCAGGTGATCTGACGAGGCTCCGTGCCCAGCCACGGGGCACGTGAGCACCGATCTGTCACGTTGGAGAGCTGCTGGGGCGCGTGAGTCGCTGTGACTGGAGCAGGGACGTTCGTTCGACGTGTGGGACCGTGTGGGACCGTGTGGGTCTCGGGCTGGGCTGGGTCGGGACGCCCTCCGCTCAGCCCTTCTCATTCAGGACCCGCATCTTTCCTCTGAACCACAGACTCACCGGGACCCACACTGTATATGTATTTCATTGTTGTTAATCCTCACCCGAGGATATTTTTTCCGTTGATTTTTAGAGAGAGTGGAAGGGAGAGTGAGAGACAGAGAGAGACATCGATGTGAGAGAGACACACTGATCGGTTGCCTCCTGCACGTACCCGAACCAGGGCCGGGGATCCTGCAACCGAAGTACGTGTCCTTGACCGAAATCGAACCCAAGACCCTTCAGTCCACGGGCCGACGACGCTCCATCCACTGAGCCACACCGGCTAGGGGTAGATGTATGTTTTTTTGGAGGCCGCCTTGAAACCCGTGGGCACCCACCCACACAGCCCCAAACCCAGGGGAACCCTGACATTTAGAAAGTAGGGCTTTGGTGAATCACACGCTGCAATGAAGTGGTTTAAGACACTTTGCATATCGCCCCACGTGGAGAAAAAAAAACA